CTTCCCCTTTCCTTCCCCTTTCCCTTCCCCTTCCCTTCCCCTTCCCCTCTTTTGTGACCTTTGATTTCTTCCCCCCCCAGGGGGGGGAAATGAAATTATATACACCCCTGCCCGAATCTGATATCAAAACCAAGCCAACCTCTCATGAACCACCTTTAAAAATCAAGAATCTCACCCTGAACCTGAAGCTCAGTCCGAGCATGAATCAGAATCTCAGAGATATTTTCGAATTTTAAATTTTAAAAATAATCAAACTTCTGTTAAACTTGTAATGCTATTTATGTCAGAGATAATTTAAACCCGATGTGATCTTTAAATCAATCATAAAAATTTAGATTTAAAAAAGATATATTATCTCTGAATCAAAGGGATTAATTCTTCTAATTTAGTCAACTATTCAAAAGTCTCTTATTCAGGGCACCAAACTACATTCCCTCATATACAATGGTCCGCGGCATTTATCGGTATGGAAGGCAGTCAAATAGCTGGGGAATCTTATTCAGGTATTAGCATACAAGGGTATATATTTTATGAAACAAAGCTATCCAGGCAGCTCGCCCCCACATTCAATTTCAAATTTTAATATTTCTCAATCTAAAATTTCAGCCTTTCTCTTTGATAAAACAAAAATAAAAAATTTTGCGAATTTACTGTTTCTCTTCGAGGATTCACAAAATGTTACGAAATTCGGACCCAATTAGTTCAGTTGTTTTGGCATTAATTGGATACAAATCGACAAGCAAACAGAAAGACAGACATACAAACAAAGTATATATATTATATATAGATAATTTTTGTAATTTTAATTAAAATTAAAATCTAAAACTTAAAAATTTGAAGTTTCACTATTTCCGTTCTTCCCAACAAAAAAACCAAACCGCTAAAAAAGAATCATGATTTGACGTACTTCATATAAAAGTCCACCAAGACAGTTTTTCATTAATAAAAGTTTTCACTGCCAGAAATATAAACCACTGTAATTTTCAGGACACATTCTTCCTGCTCTACTCATAACTTGGAATACATTTGCGAGTTCATTGCTATCATCTCTACTTCTTCCTCTTCTTCTTCTCTCTCCTTTCTCCCTCTACCTTCTCCTTCCCGGGCTCAGACACAAACAAACATACCAGACAAACGGAACAGGTAAGAGTAGGGTTCCAATCGGAATTCCATTGCACGCAATTGTGCGGAATTGCACACAACTTTTCTCATATTGCACGGAATAGTGCGGAATTGGAAGGAAATTACAGGGTCTGCAATTTAGTTGAAAACATTAGGTAAGAGAGATTAAGTCATCATTTCTTGAAGAGTTCTAAATACCTTATCACAGCAGATGTACTGCAAGTGAGTTTTTCAAGGGACTGTAACCGTAATTTATAGTGTCATTTCCCTAATAGCAACCGTACCCTTGAAAACTTTACCTGAGCAATAATATGAAAAATATTGCTGCTTCTTTAACTTTAAAAGGATATTTAATTGTGATAATTCCTTTATGTTTTCCTTCAGTAGAAACGCACTTTTGAAGAGAAATAACAATGGAAAATATTCAGCTATCCAAACAATAAACGTTGATATCCACACAATGGTTTTATGACCACCATCTAGCGCTACTTGTTGCAATTATTTCCCAATCAAAGGTTGAAATTTTATTTTTTAACGAAAATCTAATTTTCAACAATTTTTTCAGTTTAGTGTCTTATTCTGAATTTTTCTATTAGTCTTAATAATGTTCAAGGTTTTTATACATTTTTTTATTTTATACAATTATTGATTAACTTTCTTCGATCAATTATACATAGTAGAATTATGAAAGCCATTTTTGTATAGGTTTCTTAAGAATTAAACGTGTATAACAATAACACCCATACAACCCTAAGCAGCAGAAAATAGGAGAAAAAGATCTCATTCAAACTTGATCTGACACAGGTTTACTGAATATAATTGTGAATCGGACATGGCATTCAAAATTACTTCTACAATTCCTTAAGATATATCTGGTGTACTGTCCAAAACAGATCTGGGAGGTAAATGTATTGATTTTTTTGGGAATCAGTCCTGACTGAGACCATTACTACCGAAGGCGGTCAGGAATCTCACATTGGGGATCTTCCACGATTTTTTCTCTTATCTTATCTTAACCCCGTATACGGACCGATGATGAAGAGATCTGCTAAGGTCGAGCTACCAAATTTTTTTGTGACAGTACTTTACATAATTTATGTACTTTTCTTTATAATATAGCTGGTGTACTGCCGGATGCGTTCTGTGAACTGGAGAAGGGAGAAAGTGTACTACTGGAGAATACTGAAGAAACTAAATCTGCTTTATTTCTTCTCATCAATAAATATATTCTTCTCAAGGTTAATTTATAAAAAAAATATTCTATTTGGATGTCTTATTATAACTAGGGTTTCCAACGCAAGTGGATTTTACTTGCGCGTAATTGCGAGCCCCGTAAACTCCTAAGAATTGCGCGCAATACCGTGCAATTCCGGACAATTCCGCGCAACAGAATTGCGATTGGAAACCCTAATCATAGCTCACAAACCTCTTCACGCATTTGTCTTGGCTTGGTTTTAAAATTTTAACTCCTAAATGGGGAGGATTTCAGATCCTTTCCTTTATATTATCTTTTAGAAAGCTTAGCTTTCAGACAAAGCTGGGTTCAAATGCTAGAGTTTTGTAAGAAAAATATATTTCTCCAATTTACAATATAGAAGTTTAAACGTTTTTTTAGGGCGTACGTCTGCTCTGCAGTATGATGGCTGCCGCTGTCTTGCGACGTCATCTCATGGTTTGGAAGATATTTGCTCCTAAGTTCATCTTCGAAGCTGTTGGGTTCGGTGTGAGCCTTCTTGGTCTGATTCTAGGATACCTTATATTCATCCGAGTACTGTCCGTAGTTTCGGCCTGCTATGCTAAGTTTAAATTATCCTGATAATTCGGGGTTTTTCAGGGTTGTATATATTCCTTAGAAATCATAACCCCCCCCCCTTTTTAGAAAATCATTGAAGTTCGATTTTTCATTTTTCCCCCAAATAATCAAAAATAGTTTTTTTTGAGGGTGTAATTTTGAAAAATATTCACCTCTGGGTTTTTTTCAGCACTAGTCAACTAATCTGGAGAATCTGGAGTCCTACTTGCGTTAATTCGATCTCAAAGTTTTTTGCTTTTAAACTTTTTGTCTGTGAAACATTAAGATTTTGTCAGATTTTTGTAGTTGTTAAACTGTACAATCTCATGAGAATATTTGTAGTTGTTAAACTGTACAATCTCATGAGAATATTTGTAGTTGTTAAACTGTACAATCTCATGAGAATTTTTGTTGGGACATACAGGGTGTCCCACATCAAATTAGACAGCGTCAATTTGGGGGACAAATCAGAAAATTTAAGAAGAATGAATCATTTTAAAAATTTAATAAGGCTAATAGAAAATTTTGTTGGCAGAACTTAATAATTTCAATTGTAAGTTTCTTCAATCTTCAATTCTTTTTTGATTATCTTACACAGGCACTCAAGTACTCCTCTTTTCGTATTTATCATAGCTTTTAAAAATCAGTTTTTACAATTCATAATTTTTTTTTTTTTTTTTTTCTTTTAACATGTCCCAAATATTCTTTCAAAGGGGCCCTTCTCTGCTTGTACGTGTGATAAATGTGATTGTGAGCTTAAACTATAGTCTTGTTGTTTGTGAACGAATTGTACCAGTTATGATATATTTATGTCTATGCACACTACAGTGTACAGTGTATAGTGTACAATGCACAGTATACACTACAGTGTACAATGTACAATTTACAGTATACACTATACAATGTATAGTGCATTTTTGTGACAAAAGCCTTAATCTAGACTAAACTAAAATGTTGTTTTTTTATTGTTAATATTATGGAAACTTGTTCCAAGATATTTTGTTATTCCCCTTAAACTTGTTTTCTATACATTCTACAGTATATAATGGGGCGTTTTAAGTAAAAAGTAAAACTATCTGTGCAGAAAAGAAAAAATGCTCTTTGTATTTTTTTGCGGAAAGTTTTGCAATGCCTTAATAAATTGATTTAAAGAATTATTTATTTTTCTCGTTGCTCTTGAATCTAGCCAAACTGCACTGAATGAAATACTCTTGAAGTCAAGTTTGACGAATTTTCACTTAGAAATAAATCTTATAATTAATGTTAACTTGTGATTTACAGTTAAAAAATTCTGTATTTCCTTTTAATCCCCTTGTGCATGCTCTCACCGAAACGTTGACTTTTCATAAATTAAATTCTAGATTTTGATCATGAACCGTCGTATCAGCTGTTCCTCTGTTATGTTTGGTTTGGTTTATTACAGCTGTTGTTATGTTTGGTATGGTTTCAGATTTCGAATCAGCTGACTGAGCAATGTTAAAATGGTGACCAAATGTGAGGTCTGCACTCTTCTAGAAAAGAAATATAAGTGTCCCACCTGTAATATACTCTAGTAAGTCTTGATCTTTTATAACTTATAAAATGTAGATTTTCTGACTTCAAATTGACACCCGCCGTGGACAAAAAAAATCATAAGAGGTTGAATTTTGGTATTTTAAAGAATCATTAAAATTTACCTCCAAACTAAATTTATTTTTAAAAGAAAGGGTTTTGCTTTAAAACCAATTTTTGATTCCAATTAAAGAAACGATGTAAAACTTACTGAAAATGATTAAAGAGTAATTAATGTAGATTAATTGTTTCCACAAAATGTCCTTTTCCCAAGCATAGTGTAAGCCTAAATCGTCTTAATCTTATCTAGACAAATTTATTTTGGTAAAGTTTCTTATATGTACGTTAAAAGGACTCTAAGCGTCATTTCAAGTGACCCTCCATTCAAAAATGGCAATGCCTGATTTACAACGGTACCCTTAAAACCTGAATCTGATTAAAAGTGTTAAAGATAGCATTGTTCTCCTGACCGAGTTCAATTCTTATAATTTCTCCACTGCATTGCAAGAAATGCGCAAATCACCTATGCAGAGAACCTACAAATGTAAAAGAAAAGTTTTAAAAACCTAAAACTTGGATATCTTATTCATTGTTGACCAAGAAATGCGCAAATCACTTTTGCAGAGAACCTACAAATGTAAAAGAAAAGTTTAAAAACCCGAAAACTTGGATATCCTATTCATTGTTGACCAGACAAAGCTTTTAAGGGTACCGTTGTGAATCGAGCATTGCCATATGGCATGGAGGGTCACTTAAAATTACGCTAACCGTCCACTTTAAAATAAATTCAGAAATAACTGGCAAACTATATTTTTAGTTGCTCTGTCGCCTGCTTTAAAACTCACATTGACAACTGTATCCCTTCTGTCAAATCTACTGAGGACCCCCACGTGGAATCATCTTCAACTTCCGGTGTACACAAGTTTCAAACAGCTGAAACTGTACCAGTAGATCAACTTCAGCTTCTAAGTAAATATTTAATTTGAATATCAATGAGAATAAGATTTTTTAGTAGTTTTTCTTTGTCTGGATTCTTTCATAATTGATAAAGATTATCAATTTAACTTCATACTAAATTTTCTGTTTTTAATTTATTGAAATACCATTGCGCTCAACACCTCTTATTAACAATTTTTCTTGTTATAAAAAGTTCCAAACGTCCATAATCCTGCCAATGGGGTCATGTGAGTTATTATAATAATTTTGGCCTGATCGATTCAGCTGTTTTGACGTTGGATCCAGACAAGCAAAGTATATATATATTATCTCTAGGGAAAAGTGAAGCTTTGAAGGAACTCCTCAGAAATCCCCATCTTCAGGAGTTTTTAAAAACCATCGACTCCTCAGAGAATCCTCCAAGGTAATGGTTTGAGGGACATCTGAAGGTTGTTAGTAAAGAAAAATATTATTTTTAAAAATCAAAAAATCTTAGTTTTGATTTTTAAATGTATTAGACCCTGATAAATGGACGGGAGCTCAAGCCTGATCACTTCCGTTTAGATTTATTATTATTATTATTTTTATTATTGTTATTATTGTTATTATTGTTATTATTGTTATTATTGTTATTATTGTTATTAGTCTTGATGTTATTGTTTTTGTTATTTCTATTGTTATTGTTCTTGTTCTTATTCTTTTGTTCTTGTTGCTGTTGCTGTTGCTGTTGCTGTTGCTGTTGCTGTTACTGTTACTGTTATTATTATTGTTATTTTTATTGTTATTGTCATCATTGCATTATTATTATTTTAGATTGATGCGGAAGGCTATGCAAGAGCCTCTTTTTATTGAGTTCGTAGACGAGTGTTTGAAGGTTATTGAACCAACAGGGATTCAGCTTACGGACGAACAGGTAGGAATAATAGTCTCATTGCAGGGGTTCCCCCACTGATTGAAAATTATTTTTTACCCCCAGAAGTAAGATTTTAAGGGAAAACACATATATGTTCAAGTAACTATTTGAAGAAAATGCAAACTTAAAGGATCAAGGGTAGAGAAAGAGCGTATCTCTTAACATCTACCTATTTAACTGTCTTTATTTTTTTCTAATTTAACTATGATGTTAAATTTTTAGTTTGAATTTGGGAAAATTTTATTGTGGCATTTTTTAAGGTGTTGGCGGCAATACAGGAGGATATTGAGAACCAAGAATAAATAAAACAAGAAAATGAAATTTTGGGAAACAGAGCACACTCATTTCTTTCCCTGGGAGAAGGTCTCAGTTGGATACTGGTTCCGCTATCCGAACCAACATTCTAGGTAGGGATATCCAATATTCTAGGATGGGTATATACAACATTTAAGGTAGGGTTTTATCCAAACCAATATTCTAGGTAGGATATATCCAGTATTCTAGGTAGGGTTTATCCAAACCAATATTCTAGGTAGGGTATATCCAATATTCTAGGTAGGGTTTATCCAAATTCTAGGTAGGCTATATCCAATATTCTAGGTAGGGTATATCCAAACCAATATTCTAGGTAGGCTATATCCAATATTATAGGTAGGCTATATCCAAATCAATATTCTAAGTAGGGTATATCCAAACCAATATTCTAGGTAAGGTATATCCAAATCAATATTCTGAGTAGGGTAGAACCAAACAAATATTTTAGGTAGGGTATATCCAAACCAAGTGGAACAATTATTTTTATAAATGGGGGGGGGGGGGCGGGGGGGGATGAAAAAATGATTTTCGAGTAAACATATACCCCTGTTTCGTTTTCAGTCATGTGTTTTCTGTTGATACTCTCCAAACTGAAATAGTTGATGGAAAACTTTACTGCAAGTAAGTTAGTTCAGAAGATCGATCCTATTTAATTAAAATTAACACTTTGCTAAACCAATTTCGACAAACCTTTTTATTTTGTTAATTGTTAAATTTGTTAAATTGCTAAACTAAGTAGATAAGTTTTCCTAAGAGACAATCTTTATTAGCATGGTTTTAATGGTTTGAATTTTGAAATGAGAGATGAAAACTTTAAAATGGTGGATATCAAGATCATTGCCTGATCTCCCTTTTTATTAATCTCCAGATTAAATATGGCTTTTAATGGTTTGAATTTTGAAATAATGACTTGATTGTGCCGGCATATAATAACTTGTTATATACCTGCAAATTATTTAACGGGGGGTTTCAGATTGAAAAAAGCTTTTTACAAATCGCATATTTAAACTAAATTAGAGTAATTGAGCCGTTGGACTCATCTCCCCTTGAAGTTTTATCCATTTCAATGTACAATGTTAGTCATAAAAATAAAGGGGATGGTGGAGTTGGCACATTTGATGTAGGGGGGGGGGGGCTGCCTT